TGAAACATGGCTTTCAATGCCTATTTCAAGATCATTTATAAGTGTGTTAAATAGAAGCGGTCCCAAAACAGAACCCCGAGGGACACCACTTGCCACTTTTGTCCAGCCTGAAAATTTACCATTAATGACAACTCGTTGTACTCTATCCTTAAGCCAATGTTATACCCAAGAACAAGAATATTCATCTAGACCAATTTCTTTTAGTTTGAAGACTAACCTATTGTGAGGAACCGTATCAAATGCCTTGGCAAAATCCAACAAGATCACATCCACTGCAACACCCTTATCTATACTACTACTTGCTTTTGCACACAGTCAACACTATGGATAGATTGATAATTCCACTGTTAGCTTTCACTCATGGCTTGCCTTAGTAACTTCACATCACTGTAACAAGAAACTGTGAGACTGCATCCACGGATTTGTTTTCACCATATTCACTGCTCAGAGCTCCAGTGGTTATGGTGTTTAAAGCGGTGTTTGAAATGGAGGTATATCTAATTTGCAGCAAGTTATCAAGTTTCAATGAGGACCAGACCTAGAGCCATTTAGTGACCTCTAATGATGATTATATATCAATAAATAATTAAATATAACATATCAAAAGATCAAGACTAGCTCATTTAGACAATCCAGTGACTGGGGAATAGGTATCTAGATTTGACAAAATTACATTACATACATGCTGATAAAAACCTAGTTAAAAATCTTGTTTAAGCTTTTTTTTTTATCAGCTTCTGGGATATGAATCAACAGATATATTGTGATTTCCTTGAGAATATAAATCATACAATAGGTGTGCCTGTTATTGTTGTTTAATGTTTCCCTGCAAAGTATAGATACAAATAGTTCAGTTCCACCATCTTCATGTACTTATTTGACTTTTTACTTAGCTAAAAAATACAGAGTTGTTTAATATTACTAATGACACCTCTATGCAGTTGTTCTCTAAAAGCCATATCCTAGAAGTGAATTCTGGGAGCTGTAATACTTTGTAGTATGTTTGAAGGCCAGTGTCCCACACCCATTCTACAACATTTTAGGGACATTATGATAAATTTAGATTGTGTTTCCCCTTTAAAGTTGGCTTTATAAAAAGCATGTTAGCTTCTCTGAGATACAGTAGAGATTTTGGAACATTGAACCCAGTAATTAACCCATTCATGTTTTTTTCTAGTTTCTCCTGCCAAATGCCAGACTTCCAGAACCTCTTCATTAATCAGCACTCTTGATGAACTCCTAGCCATTCTTCTCAAACTTACCCAAGCACTCAATGCTTCGACTACCACAAAAGTGCCAGCCACTACTCTGGCCATCACCAATGCCAGTACTGTGCCAATCACTACTGGTAGCACAGGAACATTCACCACTGCATTGACCAATAGTGTTCCAACATCGACCAGTAACACAGTGACTAATACCACTCAACCAATATCAGATGTTAGCACTGGAACAAAGTCTAGTACTGGGAGAAACAGCCTCCTAAACAGTTAATCAGGAACCATCTCCACTGCCAGTAGCCCCCCAGCATCAACCAGTGTTCAGTGAATCACTGTCACCTCTGGTAGCAGCAACGTACTAGGATCAACTAGT